AGGAAAATATAAAATAACAACTTTATTATTTCCTCCAGGGCATATTTCCTTCACGTAGACCACCTAGTGACGACTACAAGCACTAGAGCAAGCCGAAGGCGCGCCACCATCATTGCCCCTCCCTTATCGGAGCCAAGCAAACATTGTTGTAGTAGACAGCCGGGAAGTCGTCGTGCTAAGGCCCCATAGGACCAGTGCACCAGGACAGCAACCGTCGTCGATGAAGAGAAGCATAGATCGGAAGGATCCAACCTGCAGACAAACGGACTTAGACGAACGAAGACCGAATCCAAGCGGATTCATCGTAATCAAACGCCGACCGGATCCCATAAGATCCACCAGAGACACACCTCCACACGCCCTTCGAAGATGCTAGATGCATTGCCGGGACGGGGGCTAGGTGGGAAGACCTTATTCCATCTTCAGAAGCCGCCTCCTCCTCGTCTTCATGAGCATGGCACAAACCCTAAGAAAACTAAAATAACACCTAAAAACAACGCCCTCCCACAAGCAAGGGTCGGGATCCACCGTGCCTCCAAGATCCAAGGACCCTAGGAGATGAAGTGTACCAATGTCGACGCCGGTGAGAGGCAAGGAAACCCTAGCTAAAAGGTCGCAGGAGGCATGAGCGAAGGGGTATTCTCCTTCTGCCAATAACTAGTTAAAGAGTGTTTAAAGAGTTATAGGATATGTGTTGTACTAGAGATCCTCTTGGGAAACTTACGACTGGATATTCACTTTGGCACATGGGAGCATATGTGATGCGGAGCATCCTTCCATCATCCCCATGGACTCTACACCAACGCATCAACCACCACGTGGACCTATGACAAGAGCTAGAGCACGCGCAATGGAAGCCAAGGTGAACTCCTTCCTATTTGACATGGATATGGATACGGGTGGAACTTGGTTGCTACCTCAACAAAATGCTCTATGTGTCGTTAGGTCCGAAGGCCTATGCCAGCATCTAAGGAGCACCTCAAGGAAGGAGAAGGAGTCCAAGAAGACGAACGCGAAGATCCCAGCGCAAACGGAGGTCAGCAGCTGGAAGAAGAAGATCTGCCCTAGCGACCCCGTGCCCACACGCTCTCCGGACCCCGTGCGCACGGGCTGTCCAGGAAGTCTCTGGATACCCCATGTGCACGGGCCCAGAAGACCCCATGTGCACGGGGCCCCTCGCTGTGATGTTGCTAGCCCGTGCGCACGGGCTTGTACCGTGCCCACAGGACCCCCGTGCGCACGGGCTCCACTTACCCCGTGTGCACGGGCTCTACGGGGTGGACGGCTGAGATCTCCTATTTGAGCCCCACTTCGTCCCTCACCTCCAGCCACCTATATAATCCATACCTAGGCCATTTGTTAGGGTTAGAAAAGACATCTATGAGATATTTGTGAGCTTTGCTCCTTCTACCACTCCATTGAAAATCAAGGCCTCTTAGGAGAGGATCCACTTGTGGATTTCGAGACCTCCATCTTGGAGAAGACTACCATCATCAAGGCCTCATCTCTTAGGAGTGGGAAGAACTCTACCTAATGCTTGTTTTCTTTGATTGTGCTTGTAATCTTGTGGATCTCATGTACACTATTCTAGTAGATGTGTGATTTGGGTTTTGTTTGAGTGTTTCCTCCTTGTGTTCTTGTATGTTCATCACTTTCCCCACCTCCAAGTGTGAAAAGATCCCTTCTAGAGTTCCACCCTACAACAATATGCTCCTTCCATTGGAAAAATATTTCAATATCTCAAAAATTCCGAACAAAAATTTGGCATGTACATCTCGATATCCTATGTGCGCACGGCAAGTTTCGCGAAAACTGACATTTGTTGTGTCTTGTGTAAAAAAACAAAAAAAATGTCTTGTGAAATGCCCTTTTTAATACTGAATGTTGTCTTTTTCACGCGCGACACAAAAGTTGTCGGTTTTCCATGAAACGACTTTGTGATCACGTAGAATATCGAGATGAACACACGAAACATTTTGTCATAATTCTGTGACATTTCAAAATATGTTTAAACGCGTTTTGAAAAACAGAAGCATATGCTCCCGCGTGCCAAAACGCTTCTATCACGACTACTTACGTGCATTTGCAATAACCCAGAGGAAATGTCAAGGCAACAGTACCATGGAATAAGAGCATGGATACAGATGAAAACGCCTTGTCAAACATTTCAGTCCATTTACCATAGCCCACCGAGCATATACTCCCTCCGTTCCAAATTACTTGCCGTGGTTTTAGTTCAAATTTAAATGAACTAAAACCACGACGAGTAATTTGGAACGGAGGGAGTAGCAGTTTATCACGAGACTGGTCCCAAGCCAGCATAGCAACTGTAACAGACACAGTTTGGTCAGCTGGCAAACCATTTTGGTGGCGGTTATGGCCTCCAGTAGTTCTCTACGGAACCTAATTTTGGTAAAGATTTTATCTGAATCGTAGTGGGATCCAAGTCGGTTCAGTGAGGGCAAGAGCAGAAGTCACCGAATGGTTTCAGTCCATCTTTTCCTGATAATTGTTTGTCCCAGCAAACAAAGTTGTGAGAGGAGGTGACGGACATGATTTTAACAGCTTACTGTCGTATTCAACAAAGCTTAGATTGCTTTCACCAAGGATTAGCACCGACTTCTTTTATTGCTGATGTGACACTATATCTGCCTCTCAACACAAAGTCTCTACGCCATGTTAAGATTATTCTCCGGATAAGTAATAGAGAGCTCGGCTAGAGCCATCAGTCTTGATTCTTGAATCCTCATGTCAATTATCCACCAACAACAAATAACACAAGGCAACATGGATGGGGATAGCGTAAACATATAAAAAGTCAAGCTACAATAATAATATCAGTGCGTTAGGTCACATGGTAGATAAGATAATATGGTAAATAATATCCAGCAAATTAGCCAGGGTATGTTATGGATCATAATCATTTGCATGAATATCATCATCGTCAACTCTCGCCTTAGAGAATACTCAAGGATCTACAGCTTATAAATGGGTTCTTCTTTTTCCCGTTCCTCCGACAGAGCCCGTTGAGAGTCAGCCGTAGCCACGGAAATCCCGCCCGATCCCTAATTTCCTTCGACGGCGTTGCCTGCCGGAGCAGAGGTGGGAGAGGTGCGTGGACTAGTCATGTACTCCCTCCGTATAAGAGTGTTTAGATCACTATTTTAGTGATCTAAACGCTCTCATATTAATTTACAGAGGGAGTACATACTACTAGGTTCTGGTCTAACTTTAGGTTGAGTGGCGAATGGCGTTATGTCGTGGCGGAGCGTGCCGCCGCCGTCTTCGAGCAACGGCTGGTGGCTCTCGGTGATGGTGGTCCTGCTTGTGCTGGTTGGTTGCCGGCCGCTGGCGGGTTTCGCGTCGCCGGTGACTCCAAGAATAAGCTCGTTTTTTTCGAGAATGACGGGGGGGCATTGTGCCCCACCGTTTTTTTCGAGAATAAGCTCGTTTGGTTCCCTGGATTTGAAGAGGGCCTCCATGTTCCATGCTTTCAAGGTCAACACGGTGGTGGAGGAGGAGCTATGGGGAGATGGAGATCCAGGTTGGGTTCGCGCTCATCATCGGTGGCTCCCACGAAGAGGCCTTGGCGCCTGCAGTTGCGGTCGATTGCCGGTTGTCTTCGTCTCGCCATCGAATCTTCTAGCCGAATGACGGCTTTACTTCTTCGTCACGGCCATGAAGTCTAATGGGAGGCAGTGCGGCTTCGGCATGAAGTCTATGGGGAGGTGCCATGGAGGTTTCACCACCCCAAGTGGTGTCGTCCCCGGTGACGACAAGGTTGCGTTCGTGCGGGAGCAGCTGGGGACCCGATTGCAATCTCCATCAGCTTACTGGGGTCCTCTTTGTAAAAAACAAGGACTAGTTTGTTATTTTCTGGTTGTTAAGAGTCATGTTGTAAGATAATGTGTGTCACTGCTTTATGTTTAATATAAGCATCGGGGTCCCTCTGGACTAAAAAAGTGTGCGTTCGGTTTATACGATTTTTCGGTTTGTACAGTATTAATACTCTGGTAATTAAGATATGAAATTAAAATACGATTCGATTTTGGTATATACCAAATTATTTCGGTATGGTTTTGGTATATATCATAATAACCAAAGTTGACGCGAATTTGAAAATGACATCAATAACAATTTACAAATCTATGACTTTGGTATATACCAAATTATTTTGGTATGGTTTTGGTATATATCATAATAATCAAAGTTGATGCGAATTTGAAAATGACATCAATAACAATTTACAAATCTATGACTCAAAACACATACTATTTAACACAAATACTATATAAGTATATACGCATGAATGGTTCCATCCTTTGATTGTTATGGACGTGTTTAGCATTTTTTAAAGAGAAAATGACTATGTTACAAGAAAAATGTGTCGAATTTGACTCGTGTACAAGAAAAATGATAACTTGTATGGTTGTTTGCCTCAAGAAATATAAATTTATTTTTACTTTGGTTTATTCGTTTAACCATTCAGTTTTTCGGTATAACCATAAAAACCAAAGTTCATACCATACCAAAACTAGAAACCATAAAAACCGTAAAATTGGTTCGGTTCGGTTTATTTTCGGTATGATTTTTCAGTTCAGTTTCAAAATGCAAAGAGTGAACTCTGGACCCTTCTTTTGTTCAAAAAAGAGAAACAGCTTAAAGATAACAGTTTGACGCGATCATGCAGTACTTATTTGTAAGACACTGAACATCTTAATATGGAAGGAAAAGAGTGCATCAGGACTACAGTAGTACTTAAGACAGATCGCATACAAATTTAGATAGACATGTTTAATGTAATTGAGGGTCATACGCTATCTCATAATACAGGTGGAGTTACACACAGAAGTGAATACGATGAACCTTTACAAGAAAACTACACATACACACACAAATCACAACATAGGAAGAATACAAACATGAAAGACAACCTTCCTTTCATTGCTGACCTGGGACATGAACAAAGCATGATGATACATACAGACGAAATGCTTCAGCTAAGCTGGAACCAATCCCAGTTCTTCATCTTTTTTGCAGCAACCAAACAGTGAGCGGAACCAGGCCCAGAAGCTTGTCCCGTCTGTTTTCTTCTGGCTTGCTCCTCTTGAAGCAACCATATCAGCCACATACTGGACCACCGCCTGACACGCAAAAGAAAACATCATTCAGTTATCTAAGGAGTAAAGTTATTACTATTAACTTATAGCAGAGCGACAATAAATACACACCTGAGCCCCTAACTTGATAACTTCTCTTGGTGGTACTTCTAGTGGAGTCTCGTCGGCGTGAAATACACGAAGCTTTGCAAGGAACTCGAATGAATCTGGCAGCATTCTTATCTGGTTGCTGCTGATGTCTAACTCCTCAAGCATCTCAAGATTTCCTATTGATCTTGGCAGTGCTCTTAAATCAGCAAAGTTCCTGCTGACATTTAACTTCACCAGGCTAGTGGCAAAGCAAATGCTCTCAGGGATTCCTTCAACTTCATTGAAACTGACATCCAGCTCTCTCAGTCTGGTAAGCGAACCAATTGTTGTAGGCAGACCTTTGATTCTGTTGTAGTGCAATGTGAGAATTTCTAGCTTTTCCAACTTCCCAATACCTTCTGGAAGGGCTTTTAACTGGTTGAAGTCCAATCTAAGTTCCACAAGAGATATGCAAGACCCTATAGTATAGGGTAGCTCCTCAAGCTCATTCGTCTCAGCTATTAATCTTCTCAAGTTCATTAATTTTCCTATACAGTCTGGCAGTATCTTGAACTGATTCGAGCTCAGGTCAAGGTTTGCTAGGCTTGTGAGATTTCCAAATGATACCGGAAGAGACTTCAGCTGGTTTGCATGCAAATCAAGATCAATTAAGCTAGATAGCTCCCCAAATGTATCAGGCAGATTGATCAACTGGTTTGAATGGATGTCAAGCTTTGTCAAATATCTAAGGCTACCAACTGTTGATGGGAGTGCCATGATCCTGTTCTCAGATATATCAAGCTCAGTAACATCTTGCAACTTCCCAAGTGAGACAGGGAGCCACTCGATTTGGTCTACCAGCTTCCCTCGGAGATTGAGCTCCGTAGTCCCTCTCTTTGCTGATGACTCTATGAGGCTTGCCACTTGGATAAGGCTCAATTTCTGGTCCACCATGTCACTGCCTGCAGGATGTTCACAAGCATGAGTTACAATAAGACCGAGAGCTCAAAACGTTAATCATATTTATGTCATTGTTACAAACTGATCTTTACTTGCCTAAGAATGGCTTAGACCTGTACTTTTTTCATAAAGGAGGAGTGACCCCCGGCCTTTGCATTGGTTTAGGCCTATACTACGAAGCACCTTAAAAAAAATTTAATACTCCCTCTGTAAACTAATATAAGAGTGTTTAGATAACTAAAATAGTAATCTAAACGCTCTTATATTAGTTTACGGAGGGAGTACAATGCAGTGGGGAAATTGACTATCTATGACTTACAAACATAAATCTAAGCTCTAGCAAAATACCAACTGAAGAATTTCAACACCGATACCACCAGAACTTCTCTCCGTTAGATTGTTTGGCAATCAATACGAATAATGTTGATATCATCTTCTTCGAGAATGAATAGGGGGTATCTCTCAACCTACGCACACTAGCAAGTGGCCTTCTTTTTCTCTTTTCCTTTTTGAGAGAAGTGATTGGCCTTCTAATTAATCAACTCAACTTACTCTGCAGCCACATCCGCCTCCTCCTGTTCCCGTGGCTTTACTGCTATGGACAACGGTAGGCGTAGGGTGAGAGAGGTAAGGGACTTGGTTTGGTTGGGCACAGCATTTGACGGCACGGCAAATACATTAAATGCATAAGACTTTGGTGGTAATTGTAGTGCACCGAATTTTTTTAATGGTATTTCTGCTTAAGTGGTGTTATCAAGATGGGTATCCAATCCAGTCAACTGGTTTTTGCCATGCTCATATCACAATGAAATAGTTATATGCCTACCTATAATCCTATATCACTTAAAAGTTAAAAACAAAGTGGGTCCAGCTATCACCATTGGTGTGGACCCACGATCACCACACACACACACAAGAAACATGATTGACAGAGAGATGATCGTCAGTTCCCCACTGAATGTGACTAGCAAAACAATTAGTTACAGGGAGCATCTGGATCTGTCCCAACAGTTATTTTATCCACAGTAAATATCAATAGTAAATAATCTGCTAAACGTCTCTAACATTCCTTATTCATTTTACAGTACGATTACACTGTAGCACCGGGCCCCCAATCCTATATTGCTGCAGACACACTATCAAGGAGGAAATGGTGTACTGTTTCGTAGAGGCAAGAGAAATACTTATGTTGGGTTAAAGGATTGGTTATGTAACTTTCTCTAATTTTCTTTGTGTGCATCTCCTTTCTTTTAAAGTTTTAATAAAACTGCAGTAGGTCAATAACCTACTGTGTTCCTTCAGAAAATTAGTTAGGCAAAAGAGTTGACTCATAGAACTTGCATGTGACGCCGAAGGAATCTATTGTAGGTGTAAAAAAACAGCTCAGAAGTCAAATGCTAATGTTAGCTAAGCTTCTGCATTCAAGATATATAGGATCCTAAATGCAAATTCCAACAAAAACGGGGAGTGAAGTTCCTTTGGAGTATTGTAATTATCATAACAAGAAAAATATGGATATTTTTGGGGATCGCTTTCATCCTCTAAAAAAATGTATGGGATATGAAACCCGTGAAGAATTCAACTCCAAACAAACAATAGCAAATAGCTAAAAATTGAAGAATCACCAACACACAGAAACATCGCAACTCGCATGGCCCATCCCCCATAGTTCCAGATACTAATAAAGTAATAATAGCAGAAAACTACTGAAAAGGAATGCGAAGATAAATTGTGCCTTACTATATACATTAATCATACTAATAGTACTAGTTTCTATAGTCAACTTTCCATAAAAAAGAGAGCAGTGCAGCGTAATGGAACTACCTGAACTACCACTACTACAGGAGTATAAACCAAGATTTCATTATTCCAACAATTAATATGAACACGGAACAAAATCCACAGCTCCATAGAAACAACACCGGTCCAGCAATAATAAGTACAATCGTGATCCTAACAGAACCATGGCGAAGCCGAAGCATGAAAGTAACGGGAAAAAATCACCTGTAGAACCATTGCGAAGCAGGGACGAGACGGCCTTGGTGTCCAAGCCGAAGCCGACACCCCTGTTTCCGCGCTCTATCTCCCCGACCGCGGCCGCCGCCGCCGCGACGTCGCTACGCCTAGCATCCATCTCCTCCACTACCTCCTCCGTCTCCACACCACCGCCGCCGGCGCTGCTACCTTCGCCAGAAGGGGACACGACCCGCGACGCCCTCTGGATGAGGCCGTCGAGCACCTTGAACCGCCTCTCGAGCTCGACGACGTGCGCGGCCTCCTTCCGCTGCTGCAGCGCGCGCAGCCGCACCGCGGCGCGCCTGGCCTCGCGCAGCACGGCGAGGAGCTCCCCGGACACCCCCTCCGCCTCCCGCAGCCGCGCCGCCTCCTCCCGCGCGACCTCCGCCAGGCGCGCCTCCTCCTCCGCGTCGGCCGAGGCCAGCACCGCCGCCGCCGCCTCCACCTCCTCCACCGCCGGCCGCGGCGGCAGCTCCCGGTACACCCTCGTGAGCTCCTCCACCACATCCGCCGTCGCCGCCGCCGCCGCCATCTCCGCAAGCCAGACAGAGAAGCAGTAGAGAGAGGGGAGCGGGCCGAGAATAACTGCGGGTGTGGTGCGCGTTTGTATATAGCAGCGGAAATACGGGGAGGGCCGCCAAGAAAAGTCTCCTCATGTAGAGGGCTGAACTGGTAGCTCAAAAGGAGTGAGGGGGGTTTCAGCAAAATGCGTAGGCGGCCCAGTGGGCCAGGTGGGCCCGGCGATTAGCTGTCAGCACATCGGGATGTGTCCCGTAGGATCTGGAACATGGCGTTTCCAATCGCACCACACTGTGGCCCCTCCTGTGTCCCAGCTGCCACTGTGGAAAACTCCACACACCGCTCACGCCACATTATTACATAGAGTAGCAGTAAAAAAAAACATGTTGCTGCTGCAAATAATGCATATTTTATAGCAACTGATCATGAGTTTGACTGAGTACATTGCAGCCCCGGCACCACCACCATTGAGCCGCATCGTCTCTTCATCTAGTTAATCTGGGGCTTGCACAGTACCACCAATAAAAAATGATCTAGGAAGCTTCTTTACGACATCAGCTGCCCCCTTGTTAACTCTCCAAGTGGAGCAGCAGACCATCAGGCCAGTTAATGACATGCAGGGGGCTAATTAATCAAGAGCACCGCAGATCACTGCAAGCCAAGAACAGACAGGCGCACGTGAGGAGGCGTTAACAGCCGCTTGTTATCGCCTCGTTGTGGCACAGGCTGGGATGACACGGAGACAGATCAGACATGGGCGCAATCAGGCGTCCTCGGTGTGATCGACCCACTGGATAATTGGACAGGACGAAACGACAGCGGCTTTGGGGAGACCCCGTCCGTCTTCGTGCGTATCATCGGGATGGTAAAACGAGGGTCTTGGACGGGAGCCAGGCCACGGAATCGAGATCAAATCGGTCCATGGACTTGACGCTTTCCTAGGAGGAGACTGCAGGACAGACGGATCAACATCGGCCTTCCGCGGTTGGGTTGGGTTGGCATTGTGCAGCGGCGGCTTGCTGAGCCTTGGAAAAATAGCCGGAGTGGAGCGCGACGCAATCTGCTCCGACCATTGGTGGTACTACTTGTAAGATCGCGCGTTTACTTGCGCGTTTGGTTCACTTGGGTAAGAAACGTGGAGGAAGGACAAATGAGCAGGAAAAAAACGTGAAAATGGAGATGCGGGGGATCGAACCCCGTGCCTCTCGCATACAAAGCGAGCGCTCTACCATTTGAGCTACATCCCCTTGGTTTAATTTTCATTTGATTTTCTTTAAGACTATTATTACCTGGTTCTCATGACTATTTTCAGCTCTTTTTTTTCGATACCTACGACTATTTTCAGTTCGTTGCTGAGAAAACTACTATATGTACGAACCGCTGACCAAATGTGTCGAAACAGCAGGCGAACGCCCACTGTATTTATCAACGTGCGGTACGGACTAAAATAGTGATGCGATGTTGTGTTATAGTCAAACTAACACAGCGACGTAATATGTATACTGTATACTCAATTATCCCCTCAGGCTGCACTAATGGGGAGAACATATCCGTGCGCTCAAAAAACGTAGCGCACGCCACAGCAAGGAAAAAACAATCAATTCAGACCTAAGCTACGAGCGGGACTGCGGGAGTAGTATACACGTATCTTGGGCGATCGATCGTGTTCTCACCCAAAGTACGAGTATACTGAAGGAAAGGATGCTCCTACCTACTCGACCCATAAAAGTCCACTGCTGCCCTGGTCGTCATGGAAGGCGCCAATCGGAAAAGCAAAATCAACGTTGCAATCAGGTAAGCTCGACGTGACACGCGATGCCTCTTGGCGTACGATCGAGATGATTGGGAACTCGGGTTTTGGAGCGTTTCGGCGCTTTTCCGGCCGCCCACGAAACCCCAATTAATGGTTAATCCATCGTGTCTGCGGGGAGAGTAGCGCGGTGCGATGCAGCTTACGCTTGAGGTTGGTTGGCAGACACATGTAACGGAACGGAGGAAGAAGTCTCCTGTTTTTGTTAAAAGTTCCCGTTGCTTTCGAGCTAGGCGAGACTCTACTGTGAGCCCCTCATTTTTTTGAAACAGACTGTGAGCCCCTCATTGACGATGCACAAGGATGCGTTCGGTTGTCTGCGTCCAGTTTGAAGGAGATATCTAGTGCTCCAGTACATGGAGTGATACGCTGCTCCTAGATCACGTGCTGCGTTAGATCTAAGGTGAAGGGACATGATGAAGTCTGCTGGAAGACGTGAGTTCCAGCTACATGAATAATTGTGTGAAGGTTTCTTTTGTTCAGCTAGAATTCAAGGAAGAGAATAAGACGTACAAATATATTGGATGGTTCAGTTTTTCCTGAGCAAAACTTTATTGTATTTCCGACCGTCTACTACAACAAATAATGCACGACTCCGAGGGAAGGGTGGTGACGGCGGCACGCCTTTGGCTCGCTCCAGTACTTGTAGTCATCGCTAGGTGGTCTACAGATTTGGATGTAAGTATTATTGTTTTTTATGTTCGTTGTGTTGGGTTTCGTAGTAATTTCAAAAATTTTCCTACGCGCACACAGGATCATGTGATGCATAGCAACGAGAGGAGAGTGTTGTCTACGTACCCAACGCAGACCGACTGCGGAAGCGATGACACGACGTAGAGGAAGTAGTCGTACGTCTTCACGATCCAACCGATCAAGCACCGAAACTACGACACCTCCGAGTTCGAGCACACGTTCAGCTCGATGGCGATCCCCGGACTCCGATCCAGCAAAGTGTCGGGGAAGAGTTTCGTCAGCACGACGGCGTGGTGACGATCTTGATGAACTACAGCAGCAGGGCTTCGCCTAAACTCCGCTACAGTATTATCGAGGAATATGGTGGCAGGGGGCACCGCACACGGCTAAGGAATCGATCACGTGGATCAACTTGTGTCAACTTGTGTGTTTAGAGGTGCCCCTGCCTCCGTATATAAAGGAGGAGAGGAGGGGAGGCTGGCCGGCCAAGGGGGGGAGGCGCAGGAGAGTCCTACTCCCACTGGGAGTAGGATTCCCCCTCCAATCCTAGTCCAACTAGGATTCCTCGGAGGGGAAAAGAGGAGGAGGGGGCCGGCCACCTCTCCTAGTCCTAATAGGACTAGGGGAAGGGGGGGGGGGCGCAGCCCATCTAGGGCAGCCCCTTCTCTTTTCCACTAAGGCCCACTATGGCCCAAATAGCTCCCGGGGGGTTCCGGTAACCCTCCCGGTATTCCGGTAAAATCCCGATTTCACCCGGAACACTTTCGATATCCAAATATAGGCTTCCAATATATCAATCTTTACGTCTCGATCATTTCGAGACTCCTCGTCATGTCCGTGATCACATCCGGGACTCCGAACAACCTTCGGTACATCAAAATGCATAAACTCATAATATAACTGTCATCGTAACCTTAAGCGTGCGGACCCTACGGGTTCGAGAACAATGTAGACATGACCGAGACACGTCTCTGGTCAATAACCAATAGCGGGACCTGGATGCCCATATTGGCTCCTACATATTCTACGAAGATCTTTATCGGTCAGACCGCATAACAACATACGTTGTTCCCTTTGTCATCGGTATGTTACTTGCCCGAGATTCGATCGTCGGTATCCAATACCTAGTTCAATCTCGTTACCGGCAAGTCTCTTTACTCGTTCCGTAATACATCATCTCACAACTAACATATTAGTTGTAATGCTTGCAAGGCTTATGTGATGTGTATTACCGAGAGGGCCCAGAGATACCTCTCCGACAATCGGAGTGACAAATCCTAATCTCGAAATACGCCAACCCAACATCGACCATTGGAGACACCTGTAGTACTCCTTTATAATCACCCAGTTATGTTGTGACGTTTGGTAGTACCCAAAGTGTTCCTCCGGTAAACGGGAGTTGCATAATCTCATAGTTATAGGAACATGTATAAGTCATGAAGAAAGCAATAGCAACATACTAAACGATCGGGTGCTAAGCTAATGGAATGGGTCATGTCAATCAGATCATTCTACTAATGATGTGACCTCGTTAATCAAATAACAACTCATTGTTCATGGTTAGGAAACATAACCATCTTTGATTAACGAGCTAGTCAAGTAGAGGCATACTAGTGACACTCTGTTTGTCTATGTATTCACACATGTATTATGTTTCCGGTAAATACAATTCTAGCATGAATAATAAACATTTATCATGATTATAAGGAAATAAATAATAACTTTATTATTGCCTCTAGGGCATATTTCCTTCACGTTGTACTGCAATGATTGAAGATGAATAGATCGAAAGTTTTTCAAAAAAAAATTAACACAAAGAGCATATAAACATTCAACACCCCATGTAAGTCCAGGTTGAAATCAACCTGCTTGCATCCCGCAAAAAAATCAACCTACTTGCAGTTGAACTTGTCAAAAGACTAGCAACTTGAAACAATGGTATCTTGCAGCCTTCAGGTTGCCATCAAAATTTCTCGTGAGGAATAGAATGGCATGTGATCATCACGAGCCTGTTTTTCATTCTTGTAGTCACACATGGAATAAAGATGATGCAAATAATATCTCCCTCGACCCCTCCCTCCCCCCTCCCCCCGAGAGACGGCCGGGGCGGCGCGTGACCTCCCTCCTTTCGCCCCCCTCCTCCTCCAAATCCATGTGCCGCCGTCGGTGGGCACCCCCGGATCTGGCTCGGGTGGTGTCGGTGGCGGCGGGACCTTCTGTACCCGTGCGCGGCTCTCCTTCCCGGGGCAGGGGTGGCGGCGGTGAGGCTCGGCTTGCGGCGGCCCGGCAACTTGGAGGCGGTGGTCGGCGGCGGGCGAGGTGGCGACGCTGCTCCTTGGCAGCAGGGCGGACTGGTGGCACACCCCGGGGCTAGATCATCAATCGTTTATTCCATCTTGCTTGTAAAGCTGAACGTCTTCAGGATCGACAAGCATTGACGCGAACTAACTTTTCTGCAGGTCAACCTTCATCATGGACATCGCGTGCATCTTCTACTTCCATTGCATTAG